GATGGGATGTCGCTGGATCGATTCAGTGACTACGTTTAAATCCATTAAAACTTTCTGGTTTTGTAGAGCTTTTTGTGCTGATTATTTTGGTAATCATTTTTTATATGTGGATTTTATTTTCAAAGAGATACGAACCAAATACTCTAGATGCATTTTAAGTCTTTTCGCAGTAAATGAAAGTCGCATTTGCGTCGAAACACCGATGATAGTTCTTGATTACCCGCTTGCATCATAAAACCAACTACAGATTCAGATTCCTTAGTGTTTGAAAATTTTTTATACGGCCTACTGGTTCACTATGAAATGCACTGGAGACGAAAATTACACAAAAAAGTCAATCAAAAAGTTGGAATTAATCAGAATGGTGATATCACTAGCTCGGTAGAGCAAAATTTGCTCAACAAGATGCACTAATTAGTTTTTCTCCCAACTTTAATGTCGAAGGGAATAATTGCTGAAAACATTTATACACGCTCAGCAACAAGTCTTTTTATGGTATCATACTTTGCAACAAACTTATTACTGAGTATAGATATGACATGAGAGTTTTATTAAGGTGTGATTTGTACATCAAGATGAAATAAAATTTTCATGTGATATCTCTACTGAGTAATAAACTTAATGCAAAGTGTGAGAGTATAAAAAGACAGAGAGGAGAAAGATTTTTGCCCAGGAATGTATACCGAACGAACCAAAAGTCTTGGGACATTTCAGAAAAATCAATGTATTTCAAGAGAAAATAAATAAATTAGATAATAATAATATAATGATTCAAAAGCTACAATAGAGTACTAGTAGAATCAACTATGTTCATCTATAATTAGTTCACCATCGTGTTCTTCCACTGAACGTACTTGTCGAAGGAAAACATCGATTACGTCCTGTACATAATTAATACCAACTTTCTTGATTGCTTTTTTGACTTCTCGACGTAAATCATTGACTGCTTTGACTTTGTGATATTCGATGTGACTTGAAATGTTAGCCAAGATTGAATAACCTAATGGATTAAGCTCTAGAGAATTTGGTGACCATTTGAGTTTCGAGATGAAGAATTTGAAGCAATGTTGGCACCATTTTTGAACCATTTGATCAGTATGAAAGCTAGTCCTATTCTGTTGGAAACTTCAATTTTTGTGTCAAAATAGCCGATCATCCTCATTTTTATAGAATAGTAACAATTAAGTATAATAGCTTTCGCCATTTAGGCGTTCGTCGTTTTGAAAAAAGTATGGACGTGTAAGTCCATACTATGTTACACCCAATACAATCATGATACTCATTGGCTATTTTTCCATTTTATGTAGTCCACCGTATTCATTAGCATCAGATCGATTATCAGCTTACATAACGTCATTTTTTGAATTGAAAGAGCCATTTTTGTTAAACGTAGATAAATTTAACACCATATTCGAGTTTTTTGCGTCCCGATTCGCTTTTCGACTTGGGTTGGCTCTCTACTTGGTTGGGTTATATGCAGAATTAAATTCTGCATCGAATGGTGCCGTTTTTAACCGGAGTCATCGAGCAAAAAATTCATTTTTACCCAAAATACCGACTTTTTGGAGACTTCCAAAAGTATTTTGCGTCCGAATTCGCTCTCGCACTTGGGTTGGCTCTACAAATGGTTGGGTTGAGTTCAGAATTCAATTCTGCATCGAATGATACTAATTTCGACTAGGGTTGTCGGACAAAAAAAATAGATGACGGTAACAATGCCAGATCAAAATTTCTAGTCCTCGTTCACCCTCACCTGTCAATTTTGCCTGATAACCCTAGTCGAAATTAGTATCATTCGACGCAGAATTGAATTCTGAACTCAACCCAACGATTTGTAGAGCCAATCTAAGTGCGAGAGCGAATTCGGACGCAAAATACTTTTGGAAAAGTCCTCAAAAAAGCCGGTATTTTGGGTAAAAATGAATTTTTTTCTCGATGACTCCGGTTAAAAACGGCACCATTCGATGCAGAATTTAATTCTGCATATAACCCAACCAAGCAGAGAGTCAACCCAAGTCGAAAAGCGAATCGGGACGCAAAAAACTCGAATATAGTGCTAACTTTACCTACGTTTTTGATAAATATTTTTTCATCGTTAAACATCATTTTTTTAATTTATTACGACTGATGTTCTTCCTAATCCATTGGCAACATGATTTTCTCATTGGTTTTTGATCTTCTTTTAACTTTTGAACATTAATTTCTGCAATAACATTTTTTATTTAAATCAATATTGAGTATTCGCTTGATGATCTGAGCACTACTTTTTTAAGTCTTTCACCATTGTTCGTAAACTTTTTTGAGGTATGTTAGAATCGAGCCTTTTTCTCACCGAATAGATGATTTTTTTGTAGAGTCAGTTCTTGGTCTTCCGGATTTGGGCTTAACATCGACTTAAACAGATTGTTTATACCGACATAGCTAACAATCAATTTACTTCGATGAACCTTGTTTGGCAATAATTTAGCAATTTCTGAAGCCTTTTTCCCATCCTTTGTAGTGGGACAAAGCCATATCTCGTAGATCGTGACTTTTCATCATCTTAAAATCAACGACAAAAGAAGTGAAAAAAATATCACTCTATCAGAGTGATAGAGGACATGAGCCTGTACTTAAACTATATAAAATAAAACAGTTATCTCAATAAACGAATAGCAAATAAAGACTTTTCAAAATATTGTACAACTTTTGGCACATCTGGTATAAGTGTTTATTATCCTCAAGTAAATATATATTTAACTTCTTTTTTATAGTATTTGGGAAGAATAGTGATTTCTTTTTCTTTAGCAATTATGTTCTCTTTCGATTGGTTATCATTAAACCGATCTAACGAATCTTTACTATGATTTATTATAGAAATCAAACACTTTTTTACGATTTTTAGCGTAAGAAGCTAAATATATATTCATCTGAGGGAATAAAAACTTATATATAAATATTTTTAACAATTATTTCCTTCAAAATCAAACGTGGGAGAGAAACTAATTAGTGCATCTTGTAGAGCCAGTTTCGCCTTATCGACATAGTAATACTATCATATGGTTAATGCCAACTTTTTCATTGAGTATTTTTGTATCATTTTCGTCTCCACTGCATTACTTAGTGAACCAGTACACTGTATAAAAAAATTTTCAAATTCTTTAGGAATCTGATACAGACTTTCACGAAGAATCTGAATCTGTAATTGGTTTTATGATGCGAGTAGATAATGAGGGACTATCATCGATATTTCGATACAAATGTGACTTTCATTTACTGCAAAAAGACTTAAAATTTATCTATAGTATTGGGTTCGTATCTCTTTGACAATAGAGTCCAAATATAAAAAATTTATTGCCAAAATGATCAGCACAAAGAACTCTACAAATTCAGAAAGTTTCAATGGATTTGGACGTGGTTACCGAATCGATCTGGTGGCATCCCATGGGTGTATCCTAAAAATGCTATACAAGTTCTATATCATCATTACTAACGAGTTTAATGGTAACATTAATTTACTATTTTATTGCATTTCACGGCATGGAAGATGTCGTAAACAATTTCATGAAGTTGTTTCTATATAGAAGATAGTAACTTGTATAATAAAGAATAACAAGAAAAATACAAAAGTTATTAACATTTATAGTACACAGGTATATTCATATATGTATATATCATGAGGAAAGTATTCAGATGTTTGTTTTACGACTTTGCCGCATTGAATTTCTAATTGCAAACTTTGATAATGAACTACAAGTGCATTACGATGCGTAGTTGTAAACTACATGTTATTTGTTGTTCGCTTTTCGTACTCAATATATGTGTCTTAATAATAATCGCTGATACGTCATTTGGCTTAAGGTAAGACGTATCATGCCCGTTTAATTTGATAAATCATGATCCAATTGGAAAGAGTCTGATATAAAAAGGGACCCAAATTAGAGATCATCGAATGCGACCGAATTGGAGACTGCTGTCATAAAACTGTTTACAACATTTAGATGACATACGTATCATTTAACAGAAATAATTCATTTTGATGACAATCGGTTTCTTTTGATAAATAAGCTTATAAGAATAGATCTGCAATAGGGAATCTAAAACTTGATAACATAGAATTCGATAAGAAAAAAGTAGCCTGTTAAATAAAAAGTTTAAAAATGCTGTTTCGATTTAACCTTTTCGAGATGGGAGTGATGCATGTGAGCATTTTCTGTTCCACAACAGTCCAAACCTATTGATGCGTATTATTTATCATTGATCTAACTAGCATTGCTCTATAATTTGATACAAGCAACATACATATGCATTGTACCAGCCTTTGAAAGATCAAAGCGTTGATTAGAAATGAAAATTAATTCACTTTTACTAATTCCGTGTTTCATTATTTTGCTTTCAAAAAAAATGAATTCCATCCTGAAAGGGTTAACAAAAAAATACAATAAAATAAAATATTCTCCTCAGAACTATGCTTCTCTTCACACTATATACAGAAAAAGATGTATATATAAGTCTTAAGATGTCAACTGTGTCCATGATTTTACTGTGAGAGAGTAATGTGTTCGAACATAATACTCGTAGTCAAAAATGATATTTATATATTTTTACGTATTATATTGACTTTGTGGTCTGTTACTTTTACGAGCGCTTTTATGTTTTGAAACAGCATTAATATAGTTTAAAAAGAAAAAGAAACAATAGCATCCGCTTTGCAATATTTCTTTAGAACAAAAAAAGCCATTTCCATTTTTATCTATATCATCGTAAGTATTTTGTCGTTCAATTTAAGAGCAAATTTGATGTTGTACGTCGTAGATCAATTTTCTTGGCTAATGTTCAAATATAGTCTTATCAAATCGCCAATATTAAAAAAATTTTTCAGAAATATATGTAAATATTTAATTGGCTACCGATTCATTTTACGCTTCAGAAAATATAAACAATTTTGAAAGTTATTGAAAAAGGAGAAGAATGAGTGAACCGTAAAATTATCATGACAGAATAAAATATAATACAAAAAATTAAATATTTTGCTTTACAGGTCGCCAAACACTGTAGCCACGATCGGTGTCTAACGTGTTTGTATTGTCATCATATATAGAATCATATTGTTTACTCGGTGATACTTGTTCTAAGGTATAATTACCTAGAAAAGAAAATATTATGCATTATTAAACATGATATGATCTTAAAATTATTTTTAAATTCTTTTCATATTATTGGAAGAAATGTTCTAAATCTTTTGATAATATATTCAGAAAAACATAATTTTCATTTCAATACAAGAATTACAAGCTCATTTTCATTTTATTAGTTGTTTTGGTATCAACTAGCAAGACTAAACATGATCGAAGGTTTCCACTTTAACAAATCATTAAATGTGAATCTTTAATTTGGACAATTTGGTAGAATTATTCTGAGATACACTTATTAGATTTTAGTTTTGTTATATCAGTCCGATAGTTTTGCAAATAGATATTCGACTAGGAACTACATATTAATCGCATTATCATTGCTTTCCTCTCATTTTCTAATATAGCACACCCTCATTTAGTTAAAAGTTTCTTGCAAAACAAAAAGTGTTTATTATTTGATACCTGGTTTCTTGTTACGTTTCCGTCGTCGACAGTAGAAATATCCAGCAATAAATAATAATATACCAACTACCGGGACGAGAACAGCTGGTAAAATGATCGCTAATATTGGCGGACCCTCTAAAACAGTTAGAATGATATCACTTCACAATCAGCTACAATTGGTTTCTCATATTGCATAATGAGAATAAGTTAGTGAGAAAAAATAGAGCATTAGTTAGAACGAAAACAATGTTATTTTATCAATCTGATCAATTGTATACCTAACAAATTTCATACTGAAAATTTCTAAAGAAGTATAAGTCATTTCATTAACATCGGAAAAAAGTTTGTTGCTCAATTACAGTAATGATCGGACATATGAATGAAAAAGATAAATAATGCATTGAGGTATATAACGTAATTCAATAGTTACAAGTCCGTATTTTTATAGATTCGTCCGAATTCGCAGTTTTCTAACTATCATTTATGTATCTATTACCAAAAAGGTATATGATGCAAGTGAATGATTTAGTTCAGGCATTCTTATTGTTGAAACAAAACGGATGACATTTCAATAGTGGAAAAATGACTCGTAAGATGGAATGATCTTTATCAATTCCAGAAACTGTCGCAATCAATATCGCATGCGAAGTCTATTTAAATTTAAACTATGACATTTTTTAGATCTTATCTTTTTGTTATCGAAAGCAGTATCATAGGCAACAATATGATGCGTAACATTTATCAAGCTGTTATAGAAAAATAAGACATTGACACAATCAAAAAGTTCGTCTTTCAATGGTATGAACACAAGAAAGTTAGTCTCTTCAACGAAAAAAAAAAAGATTTATTCAAGAGCTAATGAACTAGACTTTCCTCTCGATTCGTAAGTACTGTATCATGTAAAAATCAAGATATGTATTGTTAATAATTTTCATATTCACATAAGTGAAGTGCTGAAAATAGATGAAAATGGCAATAACAATCGATTATAGGCTCCTTTTGAAAACTAAGATTAGTCTGGTAATGGTTTTCCAATAGTTAGTGGGTTTCTATAACTAAATTTTCGAACAACGTTGAAAAATTCAACAGAAAATCAGAGATCAATAAGATTGAGTATAGCGAAGAACTTATTATCTTACAGACAAAGTTTCATTTTTTGCCTGCTTCTAAAAAGATTATCATAATCTGACATTTTATTTCGACAGTAACATTGTTATGCTACATTACACACAGTAGCAACATATCTTTTGATTTGTAATTTATTCGAAGGATCAAACTGCTTACCTGAAGTACTACCTGGAGTTGCTGAGAAGTTTCCAATATTAGTACTTATTGATGAAGACTCATTTAAGAAGGATGTTGTTGTTGTTGCCAAAATTGTAGGATCTAAAACATTATTTTAAACTCTTTTATGTTTATCATATAATTATTCTCCTGAATATATTTTATAAATGAAATATAAATTGACGCTTCGATCAGAACTTTTTTACTATATAGACATAGATAATATCTACTTTATTTTTTGCAGATATGCATTTTTTTCTATTGTCTTTTTTCTTTTATTGAAGGTAGTACGAGAGAGATTGAATACTTTTAGTAAAAATAAACATTATTTGTGTGTATGTGATAGATAAGTTCTGAAAGAGTCAAAATCTGATCAGAACATCAACTTGTATTATTTGAAAAAATATCCAGAAAGAAAATTGTTACCTTATGAACTTGAAATATCTTTCATGGACGAATCTTAACGATCTTACTGTTCTTTTAAATTTTGTTTAAAGGGATGGTATTAAAGTAAAAATAAAAGAAAGCAACTGTAAAGTTAATAAGAAAGATTTATTCGAATAAAAAGTCATTGAGCTCACAGTTAGGTGCCTGTTCATGAGTAAAACTAGTTAAAAATAGACTCATGTTTAGTATACTCTTGAGAAATATCACTAGTGATCATGAAAAATATGGAAGACCTCTCTGTTGCATCCATGGTCTGCACACTTTGTAACTATCGAACAACTTTAATTCTTCTATAGTGGTATATCTCCTAAAAAAGTGTCTGATAGTGAATATCTAATGGTATTGTAATGTCATATTAGATACACAGAGAAAGACATCGTCAATTGAGTAACAAAAGTTTATCGAAGAACTTAGTCTGACCATTTAATATGTACTAATCAAGAAGAGTTACTAATATAGTTCACGAGAAACAGTCATTTTCTAATGAGAATCATAAAAAAATTGCGATTCTAAATTTGAATTCATGTGCAACGCAGAAACTCTTCATCAAAATGTCAAACTCTGCTAGACCATACCGTTGACTTCTAAACCAATGAGGCTCTTTTTATTGGAAGGAGACATTTGTGAACCACAAATTTCGTGCTACACATATTTCATAAGAACGAATTTTAGAAACACTAAAAGCTAAAAACCAAATGCTTCTAAATAAAATTTTTTCAATTTGATAAACTCTTTTTATATGTTACGCTAAACTTTGAAGGCAAGTAATTAAATAATGTGTTACTTAATTTATATTGCTAGGTTAAGTTCATTCTCTCTTTTGTTAATAATATGAAGGAATTACAGTTGAATTAATTACTGTATCAAAAGAAAACTCAACAAAAGCTTTTTCCTATTTTTCAAATTTGTTGTAACAGATTAATATAGTTAAAAATGGTCGTAGATCTTAGTGCGTACCAAAATTTATCAAACTAATAATGCTTATATGAAATGAAAATTGAAGTGAACATTCTTAATTGAAAGTTATAAAACAATTTCATCATTTCAAAATATTTATAATTTTATTAACTGCATATGTTTTATTCGTTGTTTATTAAACATCATCGAGTTAAATCATATGAATTTACCTGAAACGTTTATCGAATAAATAACACCAGAAGAAGGTACCATAACTGCCTGGTTTATCGAATGAAAGCATAGATATTTTTGTGAAGAAGAATTAGCTATTCTTTTGATTATCATCGATTGTCTAGTTAAATTATAGTTCTGTTTACAAGAATCTTCAGTGATACTTATATCCGATCTATTCCTGCATTGAGGAGTATTGTTAGTGTTAACAGTTGCAAAAAATTTACTGACGAGGGTATTGCTTTGACATACGTCATCATACCAAAACCAGTATATAGTGTCATTATGGTTGCCGTTTTCACATGACGGTAATTCAAACGATGAAAAAAGTTCAACTGAACATTCATATTTAGTACGAGATCCATTAATATTTGTAAGATTATCAGAACAAATAACGTCTGTTATATTTATGCAATTAGACATTTGTCCCATGACACGTAGAGATAGAAAAAAGAAACCCATCAACAAAACATATACGTTTAACAGCATTACTATTGATTTATATTAATCTAAAATAGTTTTGTCTATATATTGAAAAGAGAAAAATAAATTTTTATGTGCATGATTTTTTTAAACATTCTAAATATCTTACCTAGATAGAACAGAAAAAGACATGAATACGGTAACTGCCGGCTTACATTTGGTTGAAATACAAAATTTACATTTTTTACAATATCGATATTTGCACAATTCGTATACTTGAAGTTCTTTTTTTTTGAACACATAAATTACAATGTGTAATACTATATATTAGTTCATAAATGTCAAATGCTTATGCAAACTGTTAGAAAAACTCGATAAAGATCAATAAAGATGTAAATGATATTTAATTTCTGAAGAGAGAGAGAGGTAACTTGTGCAAATACTGTTGTTACTTTACTTTCTGTTATTTTTTCCTGCATGACATTGTTAAGTGTTTTACTGATAACTGACTTCGACGTCTGAAAGAATTATTAAAAAATTCTGCTTCAAAATGATGATTCACCAAAAATAAAACTGATTCCAACACATGTTGATTGATTTGAATCGTTGAGAATAAAATTTTGAACAGTTAACATAAATTTATATATTTGAAATGACTTTATAGATGTCGTTTATTATCAGTTATAGGACCTCTATCATATGTGTTGATGATGAATCATGCATGCAGATGGCGTCTCGTAATTTTCACATAGACCAATGAGTATCAGATAAATTATACACAAAAAAAAAACAACTATGGCTAACTTACGAAATATTGTTTCTTAGCTGAGATATCGTAATAATCATTAAAAGTTTCTTAAGAAGACTGAAATAAACAAAAGAAATTTATTCTTTTTAGATATTTCACTCATTGACAACATCGTAACATGTCATTGACACAGTAAGGATAACAAAATCTTGTCATCTACTTTCTACTATTCGTTTTTTTTTCTTCTTTAGAGTTCTTCCTCAACCGTCAATGACGGGTTATGATCGTGAAGACGATGAAATCAATAATAAATCAAAAAGAAATGAAGTATGTTGTTTTTTTCTTCATCTTTTATAAGTAAAAAAAAACATATTTTTTATTTTATAGATTGCTGTTGTTTCAAAATTCGTTGTACCACCTTATGGTCATCGTCAAGATTTTGTACCACGCAGACCAGATGTACGTTAGAAATCTTACATTACTTTTATTTTTTTATTCTTTTTCTTTCTTGATAGATGTTTGGTGATGGTGGTGCATTTCCTGAAATTCATATGGCACAATATCCACTTAATATGGGTCTTGCAAAAAATCAAACCTCAAATGCAATTCAACTTCAAGTTGATGCTGATGGAAAACCAAAATATGATGCTATTGTTAAACAAAATGTTAAAGGCAGCAAAGTAAATTGAATTATGTCTTATTTTTATCTTCGACTTTTTTTCTTGTTGGTTTTTGTTAGATTGTTTATTCAAGTTTTGTTGATTTATTACCTAAAGAAGTTCGTGAAGATGATCCAAGTTTACAAAAACCATCTGATGAAGATTTAAAAGAAGTAAATAATCTTATAGTAATATTTAATTCACAATAATTTCTTGTCTTTTAAGAAAACAGAAAAAACACGTCAAGCACTTGAAGCTCTTGTATCATCGAAAGTATCAGCTGCTTTACCTGTTCAACATGCAGAAAAACAAGCACCTGTTCAATATATTCGTTATACACCTTCGCAACAAGGAGCAGCTTTTAATTCTGGTGCTAAACAACGTATTATTCAAATGGTTGAAGTTCAAAAGGATCCTATGGAACCACCTCGATTTAAGTAAGTAAAAACAAATTATAAATTATATTTCTATTCATTTCTATTTCATCTATTAGAATCAATAAGAAAATTCCTCGTGGACCTCCAAGTCCTCCAGCACCAATTCTTCATTCACCAACACGAAAAGTTACTGTAAAAGAACAACAAGATTGGAAAATTCCACCATGTATATCTAACTGGAAAAATGCCAAAGTATATTTTATTTATTTTATGTTAGTTACTTTTTTATGACAAATTTTTAATTTTTTTTTTAGGGTTATACTATCCCACTTGATAAACGTTTAGCAGCTGATGGTCGTGGTCTTCAAAGTACACATATCAATGAAAATTTCGCTAAACTTGCTGAAGCTTTATATACAGCTGATCTAAAAGTGAGATTTATCTTATGAACTGAGGGAAGACTTTGGTATTTTTTTTTTCTTCTTTTTATTTTTAGGCTCGTGAAGCCGTAGATATGCGTGCTAAAGTAGAAAAACAAATGGCTAAAAAACAAAAAGAAGAAAAGGAAGAACGATTACGTGAATTAGCTCTCCATGCTCGAACAAATCGAGCAGGCATTCGTCCTACTGGTAAATTATTTATTAACTTACGTAACAAAAGAAAAAAAGTAACGTTTTTTTTGTTTTTGCTTTCTTGTAGATAAGAGTGATGATCAAAGTGCTGAACGAGATGAAATTCGACAGGAAAGACAAAAAGAACGACAACGTGCTGCTGCTCTTCAACGAGCTGGAGGCGATAAACGGTATAATTAATAAATAATCTATATAAAAATTGTTATGTTCTCTGTATTTATTTTAGAAATCGTCCAAAAGAACGTGATATTAGTGAACAAATTGCATTAGGTGTACAAACTGCAAGTAGTACAGGTGTTCAATATGACCAACGTTTATTTAATATGTCAGCGGTGAGATTTTTTTGTTGTTCATATGTTTGTTTTTTCTCAATGATCAAACATCGGTTGTTTTCTTATTTGTAGGGTTTTGGAAGTGGTTTAGGTGATGATGAAGCTTATAATGTATACGATCAACCTTGGAATTCATCAACTGCTGTTGCTTCTCAAATTTATAAACCAACAAAAACAACAAAGGATAATTTTGAAGATACTGAAGCTTTAATCAATACTGCGAAACGGTTCGACTTTTTTTTTTGTTTCTTTTCTTTATTTATTTAAAAAAATTTGAATGT